GACAGCCAGAGACATGGAATAGGCCTGGCCCCACGTTGTGGCTTGGATGCAGGCCCAGCTGAGCCCAGCCTGAGTCAGCTGAACTCCAGCCAACTTGAAGCTCTCTAAAACCCTTCCTTTTGACGAGAGCTTTGTTACACAGGCACAATTGATTAAATCATTGGCCATTGGCAATTGATCCAACCTCCAGCCCTCTCCCCTCCTTGGAGTTAGGGGTGTTCCAAGGCTTTAATTACATAGTTGGCCCCCTGGTAACCAGCCTCCGACTTTTGATGCTTTCCAAATGGCACCTCATTAACATAACAAAAGCCACATTGATCCCCCTCATCATTTAGGAAATTCCAAGGGTTTGAGGAACTCTGTGCCAGAAAGAGAACACCATGATAGTAGGAAACTTATTCACGTATGTATCTCAGGCACGTAGAATAGTTTCTGGAATGTAAATATTGGTCAAATGATCGATACAGACTGGAGAGTTGACTATTAATCACTGCTTCCAAAGGTTTAGACTTCCAGACCAAATTTTCTGAATATACATATTCACATTTCTCCATGATTTATGGCTCTGCATATACACCATGCTGGTAACAGTACATAATTATAAAATAACTAGTAATACTTTTCTAAGAAGTTATAAAAATATTTTATTTGGATTTTGTGAATTTGCCAAAAAGTCAAAGACAGATGCTTTATACTCAGACTTTTCTCTAAATTTCAGGACCCTTTTTAGTTTTGTGATTGCTAAAAAAGATGCCAAATGGCATCATAATTAAACGATTTAATACAGGTTGACAAGCTGGAGCTCCACAGCAGCCTATAAAGCACAGGTGTTTCGTGAGCAACAGAACGGCTTTCTAGCAGCCGGCAAAGGCGTTAGTGGGTATGAACCTTGGAATTAAACAGTGGGGGCAGTAAATGCAAAGTTAAGCTTTGAAATAAAGATTTGTTTGAAATCAAAGAGTTTCTCGTGGACCAAATGGCACTGATACTAATGTGTGTCTCCTTCAGAGATCCTGTTTATGCCATCTTCATGTGGAAAATGTATTCCAAACCTTCCTGGCAGCCAGCCTACTAAAAGTTGGCCGTCAGGTAGAGTGACTGTTATACCGGTAGCTGATTTCAGGTTTACATTCTTTCAAGGCGAAGCCCCTAACAGCAGAGATGCTGCAAAACTACTCAATTCTTATTTTAGATTTTTGGGCAGAGAGAGAATTGCGACTTTTCTGTACGAGCCTGTATTTAAGTTGAAACGGAGCCTTAATGTCTGCCTTGGAAAGATCAGACCTTCTGAAATAGGTTTCTATCCAATTCAAACTCAGCATTGTAGAGATTGGCAGCAGAATCCCTCCTGGGATTTTGGGCTTCGCAGACTCAGAATTTGCTACCTGTTCCACCGTGGAATTCTCAGCCAGGAAAGACCTGGACGTTTAATGTTCTTGGCTGAGTGAGTACGAATCCCCTTTTCCAGAAGGTAGGAAAACAAATCAGTCAACTGTAGCATAGAAAAAAGATGGGGGCACGGGCAGAGCAACGGTGTCTAGATCTGGCTTGGAGGGAACTAGCAATAAAGGAAAAAAAAGAACTCTAGTAAGAATCTGATGAAAAATGCAATTTACATGCATTTTTTTTAAACCTCCTTCATTTGGGTTAAAACTTACAAATCAAACAAATTCACTCTTAATTCACTTTTAAAGATGGCAGCATCGCTTCATTACCATCAACCGAACACATGGCCAAGTTTGTCTACACCACGAGACATGATTTATCAGTCTCGCCAGGCGTAGTTCTCAGTCGTATATGCTTTGTAAATTTAGAGTAGGAATTAGGATAAGAAAGGAGAGGATTGCATTCTGGGCCGAGCATGGCTTTAAAGATCTGCTTGGGAACCCAGCTTTATCCTGGCCACCTGCTAGGTCCTGACTGACCCTGGAGATAACCCATGCCTGGTGATGAGAACAGGCTATGTCAACGGTATTGCCCTCCCCATTCGAGGCTTGCAGAGAGGTGCTCCCCGCTCCAACCCAGCCAGGACAAGGAGATGGCACCAGACTTTGGTACAGTATCTCCCATGTGGCCACGTCTGCTGGAGGAGAGTGACCTCTTAGGACCCTGGAAGAAAAGTCAGCCTGACACTAGGATGTGATAAACCAGCGGTCACAGTGAGTACAGCTGTCCTATAAAGTGGCATGTGCATTCCAAAAAAAAAAAATTATCTCTGCATGGTGGAATTTTGTGCTCCAAAATTAACAGGGTTTATAGGAAAAAAATGGAGATGGGGCAGAAAGCACAAACCTTGTACCATCTTGTGAAACAAAAAACTATTCACTATAAACACCTATGTTTATTATGTTTATTAAGTTCCTAATAAACATAATAAACATAGGTGTTTATAGTGAGGAGTTGTGGCTTTTGAGCTATGGAGAATAGGTGGAAGATGATAATTTTTTGAGTGAAATGGGTTATCAGAGGTAGATGGCTATGGCTTATTATCCTGTTTTTGTCCCTCTGAACTGGCTTAAAACAAAAACCCAACTTTCACTGTTCTAATTGCCCCTTCTCATAAAGAAGCTATTTCTGTGGCCCCAAATGAGATCAGATGTCACCATGGCTTCATGCTGCATGAGGTTTGCAGTTATCTGCAGCCTACTGAGTGCTTTTCAGTTTTCAGTTCCCTGGAAAGGGAGTGATTGCTGGGAAGTTAAGATTTAGCTCTCACCTTGTTTTGAGTGTCGTCTCTGGGATTCATCAGTGTGGTTACTTTAGGCTCGCTGGCCCTGGCGATATCACATGCTCTTTTGCCTTAAAACATCACAATACTTTTACCTTTGCTACTTATAATCAGGACACTTCCTCGGGTTTTCCTGAGCAAATACAGCAGGTGAGGCACTTGGGTAAAATGGAGAAAGGTGTTTTGTATTATTCTGCCACAGGTCATTATGCTCAGCTGGATGTTTTTCACACTTACATGGTGTTACCCAATAGTGCAAGACACAGGCCCCTGGTGAAAAATTGTATATGAATAAACACGATTTTGGTTTTAGTGATTTAACTCTTTATTTGCACTAATTTTCACATTACAGACACATTTACAACAAAATACATATACGAGCATTTTTTCTCCTTCCCATACGATTCTTGAGTTAGGGTTTCCTTCTTTTTCTGTAAGAATTCCTATTCTTTAAACTTGTTTCTTCTGTTCATTTTACTTCAATAGGAGCTGCAATCCTGCTGGTCCAGCCTGTCTTCCCGTCTAGGTTACTGGGTCCCATACAGTGAGTTGTGATTTTACTTGGCTACGTGTAGTTGTGTTCTCTTAGGATATGTGCAGGTCAGGCTGTTAAACTCCCAAGTGATGGCACATGGGTAGGCTGTGGAAGACCCAAGAGCTTCTGCTTCTGAGGGCCACTTATGTGGTGCAGAAGCCTCTCTGCTGTGGTTCTGAGTGCATCGTCAAGTTAGCTCCCAATAGCAATGGGGAGCAATTCATTCTACCAATACAGCCCCTGTTTAGGTCGACATGGTTCTGCAGGATCAGGCAGCCCCTCCCCCACCAAAGTGGCTCACACAGCAAGTGAGGTTGATAGGGATTCGTCTCAGTATTCAGACTGAATATTGTGTAATGTGATGACTGTGCTCCATATTCTTACTGAGCATGTTGTCATGATCTCTTCTTAAAATCTTACAGGTTCATTAGAAACAAAGGCTCGTCTGTGAGCCTTTCTCAACCAAGAAACATGTGCCAGGCATCGTTCTAGGTGGGTAGGAAACACGAAACAAAAATTCTTCCCTATTAAAGCTGCTGCATCAGGAGCTGGGGGCTCATTTCGTATTGGCTCACACCCAAGATTACCACATCGAAGTCCAGGGTGGATCCGCATTGTGGTCCAACAGTTTAAAAACCTAGCTGCCACTTCATTGTGAACGGTAACTGTTGACCTGCACCAGGTTATGCTAGCTTTATTACAGAATCTGTGATATATAAACATAAATACTCATTTTTCCTCATCTAGCAGGGCTAAGTCTGTGAGTTTTTGAGCCATTCAGCAGTTCTGTGACCTTGGCCAAGTTACTTAACTTATTGTTGTCTCAGTGTGTCTATTTTTAAAAGCAGAGGAGCACATTATGATCATTACAGGATTGCCGTATGGACTAAATGAATTCACTTACAGAGAGCGGTTGTGCCTGGCACGTTCGCAGGTGCTTACTAGCACACTTCATATCTAATGCCAGTTCCTATAACACACTCGACATCACAGGTCATTCATTGTCACAGCAGCACCTCTGACACCCAGGTGCACTTTCCACCCTGCAACAGACTGTAGCTCTGTGGTGGGGCGTGTGTTGGGGGAAGACGTGTGTGATTTCTGTTTCCCAGTGCCTAGCACTGAGCCTGGCAGGTAGCAGGCACTCAGTACATGTTCACGGAATGAATGGGAAAGGTGGTCAGAAATTCACTCCTCGATTGGCCAGGGTAAGAGAAGGGGGGTAAAAAAAACCTACCATAAAAATGCCCAAATACAGTGGCTCGGCTTCTTGATTTTTAGAAAAGAGATTTTGCTAGGTTATCCCAGCAGCCCAGTATAAGGGCCCAGCACAGACGTGTACAGGGGCCGACAGGAGGCTTGGAGAGGCATGGGGACATTGGAAAGAGGTCTGCAAACAGCGTCACAGTGGGGCAGATATTTCTAGGGTAGACAGACATTACTTTGTTATTTTGGTGTCATGGAGACCAAAAAGCTAGATGAGAAGAAGATAATAGCAGTTCTAAGTACCTCAGGGCAAACCTTACCCTGCTGAGCTGGACTGATGAACTGTGATAGATGGGAGGTCAGATAAAACGGTCTCCGAAAGGTCAAGTGAGGTGGGGCTGTCGTCCCATCTGGCAAGACCACGATAGGGAATCGGGAATCGGAGGAAATCTGCATGGATGGGCACTTGCTGGCAACTTTAACTCGATGCTGCCTGGGGCTTGCTTTTTCATTAAATGAAAAACTGAACAGTTACCCAAGTAAGCGATTTTATTTTTATCATCATTATAACATTCAAATCAGATTACATGATAAAGAGATTCTGTAAAATAATGTATTTTACTGCAATTTCCTGTCGAAGGAAGATCCCTTCCTGACCTTTCTCCACAAACCTGGAGCACCCATAACGAGTTTCTTGTCAAAATGCAGTGGCGTCTTACTCAGCACTGTGATTTAGGAGATATTTATCAGCAGGGAGTTTTGATCACTTCATTGTTATTTTCTGCAACTTTCATTCTACTACAGCCGTAAATCTTCAGGTCTGAAAGACAAAAACCAACATTTATTTCTTCAAGAATCATATTTCATTTTCTCCTGCCTGATGAAGGAAGATTATTTTCTCAATTTAACACAAAAGTAACTGTTCATCGAGAAATAGCTACAAACATTATATCTAAGTTTTTGGTGAAAAACACCAAAGCCAAATCCTTACAAACTGGAACGGTTAAGTGGCAATTCCCAAGTTGTTAGAGAGTATAGAGGCCCCTTTGTACCTATGAATGAATATAACTTAAAAACTTGAATTAATTCAATTTCTGTGTTCTATTTTAGAGTATTTTTTCATGAAGTCCTTTTCATAGCAAACATTACTGAGACCTTTACAATCCATAGGAAGATATAGATTTACCTAGAAAAGGAAAATTCTAAATGAGTAATTTCTCGATTTATATTATTTTATCGTGTTAAATTTAATTTTAATTATATATATATATACACACACACGAAGTATATAAACACTAGCTCTTTGGTATTTTAGTTATACATATATACCTGACTTTTTCCTCATTTATATATTTATAGGATTAATCATACCCAAAAGTTGCTTCTAGTGGTAGTATTAAAACAAAGAACATTTTCAGGGACACGTTAAATCAGAACAATGGAGAATAGAAAATTATAAAACGCAAAAAATTATAAAGTGTCCTGTTTTCTTTTACATTGTGTATTTGAAGGTGTTGAGCTCATATGAAATTTTCAGAAGAAAGTCAGTAAGAGGACACGTTAAATCAGAACAATGGAGAATAGAAAATTATAAAACGCAAAAAATTATAAAGTGTCCTGTTATTGTTATCTTTTACATTGTGTATTTGAAGGTGTTGGGCTCATATGAAATTTTCAGAAGAAAGTCAGTAATCAGGAAATGAAATAGATATTTTTGGAACAGCTGTAAAAATATTCGATAATTTGAGTTCCGTTAAAAAGCAGATGAACTCTGTTTGCCCCGAAACAACTTTATCTAGTCCCTTTCTACATTTATAGTGTGCTTTCTTAAACAAAATACTCACAAGATAAGAGACAATCCAGCTATGAAGACCAACGGTTTAGTGGCCGAGTGAATGAACTATATTACAATTTAAAGTTATTCTTTAACCCAGAGGAGTCCAGGCACTGATCTGGGAAACCAGCCAAATATGCTCCACTGTATCAGTCATTCTATAACAACGAGAAGAGAAACTGCAGAATTTTGTCACTGTTTTTGAAATCTCTTTCTGAACATAAAAACTGTATCCAATGCCTGGGAAAAACAGTTTGATATGATAGCTCAAAGTGGCTCCGAAGTGTACCCTTTCAGTCTTTGGTACGTGAACTCAAAACAATCACGGCAGTAAGAGACATCGGTACATTTAAAGAAACAAGTCATCCTCCCGTCTGGCTGGTTCATATAATACAACAGGGTGGCGGTGAGGCCATTGGAAAGAAATCCTCTAAGCCGATGCCCTAACAAAAAGTCTCTGCAACTCCGGTCCAGATAATGAAATGTGCTCAGTCGGTCTAGTTGTTTCCACACCAAAGGTTAATTTATTAAGTAACAAGGAGATGACAGAAAGCACCTTTTGATGGAATTTAGAAGGAAAATTGGAAGTGTGTGTAAAGGGTGTAATCTGTAAGGAATGCAGATAGTGACCTGAAGGCAACAGGGGCCTAAGCCCAAATATTTCAAGAAGATTTTGGGGGAAGAAAGTGAGAAGGGTGAAGATGAGGGCTCCGTTAGGGCTGTAGCAGTAATGACTGAGAGGAAAGGACAGGTCCAGTATATAGGAAGCAAAAATTTAACATGTTTCAGGGGAAGAGGGTGGGAAGGGAGAGGGAGGAGGGCTAGGGCCAGGTCGATGATGGAGGAGGGAGCTATTGGAAAATGACAGTCCAAGGATGACTACTAATTTTCAGCTAGAAGAACTCAGTGAATGGCAATGCTATTTATTTTTTCAGGGTCGGGAATACAGACAAAACCGATTCTGAAGGGAAGGATCTTGGTTTTGAGTATGACAAAATCTGGACACGGCAGGCAGCTAGTAATGAAGATGTAGAGTTTGGGAGAAATGAGGCATGAGGAAGACACCTGAGAGTTGTTAGAGAGTATAGATTCCTTCTCCATCCCACTTCCACATATCGAGTGGCCCCGCGTAAATGTCTTTCATAGCCCTCCATGCTGTGTGGAATTCAAACACCTCGGAATTTAACATACAACCCTCCATGACTGGCCCCAGCTAACCTTTCTGAGTCTTTCAACACTATTTCTCTTTGTTTCTGGTCCCATTACACTACTTGCTATTGCCAGATAAAAACGTTCACACATCTGGTTTTGGGTACTTGAGATTTCCTGTGCTTGGAATATGTCTTATCTTTTATCTGCTGGAGGGGACTGGGCTAATCCTTCAAAACCCACCTCCAAGCTCACAGCTTCTGGGAAGCCCTCTACAACTCTTCCTTTGTAACTCGGGCAGGGCTCTCTTCTCTGAGACTGCGAGAGAAGCTCCCGCACACTTCCATTACAGTGTTTGTGAAATCATACTCGCCCTTACTTAGGAAAATAAAATTCGCATTTATGTAACACATACTGAGTGCCTAATAGATGCTGGGAAGTATATTAACCACTTCACATGCATTATCTCATTTTATCTTCCTCACTACATTGTGGGAAAGATGCCGTTATCAGCCCCACTTTATAGTTGACAAAACAAAAGCTTGGAGGGACCGAGTAACTTCTTTGGGGACACACAGCTAGGAAGTGAATGGTGGGGATCTAGTGCAGACCCTCTGACTCCAGCACCCACAAGCACCGTTTTATTCTACATGACTCCTATTAGGCTGTCAGTTCCTTTAAAGGCTGGCTGGGCCCCGCATCATTGCTCTTAAACTCCCAGTCGTTAGCCGCACCCAGCAGGTACTGGCTGCTTGTAAGAAATGCCACCTTGTTTGCATACTCATCCTTTCCTCTTCCTACTGACAAATGATCAGGATCTTTTGCAGAGACTCAAATTTAGAACACAGAAATGACAGAAGCCAACACATTTACATTATCTTAAAAATGGGGACTTTTCTAAAAAAAAAAAAAAACTCTTCTTTTGCCTTTAGGAAAAATCTTTTGGGAGATTTTAGTTTTCTTTCTGAAATGGTGGAAAAATCCCTTTGGCTTGTGAATGAAATGAAACATAAAGCTATAAAACACATGGTTTATGTTACAGTTCAGTTAGAGACAATATTATGTGTCCCATTAAGATAATTTATTTTTTAAAGGAAAAAAGCATCTTAATTTCAGCTGCAAATCCATGAAATTGGGTATAACTTAAGTTTAATAAATCTCAAAAATATTAATTCTCCCTTAGGTCTTATGTCCTTTCACTCTTAAGAATATTTCTCAGTATAATTCTTATCCCAAAAAAACATTTAATATTAAAATGTGGATAAAATTGGAACGGTGGAGTAATCTTAAAAACAATAGGTTGGTTTGATTGAGTTTTAAAGCATTTACAGTGTATGGATGAAATTATTTAGAATAAACCATTTCAGGAAATCTGGTGACATCACACATTCCTTGAAAGAAAGATGTGAGCTGTACAGGTGACAGCGAAGCAGAGTGACGGTGTCTTTATACTCACTTCTCTGGGCACTTGTGCCACCAGCCTGATCAGAAAGTCAAAGAGTGCTTTTATAAAAAACTAAACTCATAAAATTATTAAATGGTTTTTCAATCAAATTATGGTTTCGTCAATTAAAATTAATAGGAATTGCTATATTCAACTATCACTTTGAAATCCTAAACTCTATTGGCTAAGACTGTAAATGATTTGGTTTTGGTTGTTTAAATAGAGATTGCTTTTTATTTTAACAACCAGTTCTAATCTGTTCATATCCAGAAGAATAATTTAGATCAGTTTAGAATGCCTAATTTGAGCAAAATTCAGCAGTGGAAACACTGAGGTACGTGGTTTAAGCCAGTGCTGAGCTGGTTCAATGAGTGGGAAAGCTGGAACATAACCTTGCTGCCCCAAGTCCAGCTAATAATTTCTGACGGTGAAGAGCAGCAAATTAAGTTAAATCTTGGAGGAAAATGCCACACGACTAGACTAGCATGAATTATGGAAAATCCTGAAGATGTCTAGCTCCTCATGGGTTTTGACAAGGTAAAAATCCTTCTCTTTGTCTTTGATTAAGTCTCTGATCTGAAGCACATTTTATAAAGGCACAGGTAAAAATAGTTTTTTTTCGGAGTATTTAACTAAAACTGGAAATCTGTAAATTTTCAGGATTAACAGCTTTGTATCAGAGGGCCTGCACTAAGTTTAGATCCTTGCTGCCTTCTAGAGCTGCAGACTGGACAGGACGCGCACCATGTCCCCTCCCAGCATCGGGAACCCCGTTTTCCTTTTAAGGAGCTGCATGGATTACCTACTAAACTCCCTACACCTAATCCTGCTTTCAGGAAAGACAACTCCAGGGCTGATCACGACTGTCCTCAGAGCTCCTCGCTTGCATCCTCACCACCTCTCTCCTTACAGGCATGCTTCTCGTAGTACCCTCGAAGAGCACTAGATACCAGGAACAGGGATTTTCGTTGTAAACATCTGTTTTCAAGCATTTACTGATGCTGGAACTTTCCACACTTAGTTTCCCGACAAAGGTGAGGGTTTTGTTTAAAATAAAGCATTACAAATTTAATGGATGAGGAATCAAAATGTTTCTTTTTTGATTTTGTTTTATCACTCTGTGGATAATGTAAGCAATTCGAGTTAAGTTTCCACATACCTAGTTTTTCCTAAGAGGTCTCCTACAGAATTTTGTAAAAATGAAAATAGAATGAAATGATCCAAGTTTTATTTTTAACCTACATAATGAAAAATTTCCATTACAGTGCCAGCGCTCCAATTTCCACGATTATTATGGTTTTGTAATGCATTGGCAAAGCGCAATGACTATGGAAATAATTATCAACAGTATTAAAATAAGTTGACCATTTGAAAGCTACAGTCTCAGGCAACTGAATTGTGAAAAAAGGATAGTGCTATTGTTTTTTCTTTGAGAAACAAATTCTAAGTGTATACCCTACAATCATCACTTACACATGGCAAACACACATCTACTCTGTACTATTAAGAAACACAAAGTATAACTTCATAACTTATGGTAAAACAATTTATGTGTCCACAAAGTGTAAAAAGTACTAATATACCAAGTACATGTACTAATTTAATACTTCTAATGAGAAAAAGGATTTTCAAGAAAATATTTATAGTTATCTCAGAAAAAAATCAGTTTTTATCTTTCTTGTTTACTATTATTTTAAAAATGACTAAACAACTAGCATAAAAAAAAATCACATAAAATGAAATTAGGCCTAAAAGAATACAACTTTTGTAAGTGATTTAAAATATTTAAATGAAATCCTACAATGTAGCTTTTAATTAAGATTAATACAACCTTGTCTATTACCTACTGGATTCAAAGCTTAGATTGACAATTGTTATTGTAGCTCAAAAGCTTTTAGTCTCTTCCAGACAAGAAAAACCTAAAGGAGTTCATCACCACCAACCCAATATTTTAAGACATGTAAGAGACTTTTTAAGAATGAGAAAAAAAAAGACAAAAAATATAAATAATAAAATGGCAATAACTACATATCTATCAACAGTCACTTTAAATATAAATGAATTAAATGCTCCAAGCAAAAGACATAGGGTGGCTGAATGGATAAGAAAATAAGACGCTTACAAAGGCTGCTGCCAATAATACTCACTTCAGGTTGCAAGACACACACAGACTGAAAGTTAAGAGATGAAAAAAGATATTTCATGAAAATGGAAACAAGACAAAAAAAATCTGGGGTAGCAATACTCATACCAGACAATAAAGTCTTTAAAACAAAGGCTGCAACAAAAGACAAAGAAGGACCCAGTGATTCTACTTCCAGGTATTTATCTGAAGAAATTCAACACACTAATTCAAGAAGACATATGCATCCATATGTTCACTTCAGCATTATTTACAGTAGTCAACATTTGAAAGTGACCGAGGTGTGTATCAGTGGATGAGTGGATAAAGAAGAGGTGGTACATATGCACAACAGAGTATTAGCCATATGGAATGAAATCTTGCCATCTGCAACAACATGGATGGACCTAGAGGGTATTATGCTAAGTGAAATAAGTCAGACAGAAAGACAAATACTATATGATTTCACTTATATGTGAAATCTAAAAAAATAAATGAACAACAAAAAAGACAGAAACAAACTCACAGATACAGAGAGCATTTTGATGGAGGTGGGTAGAGGGAAGAGTGAAAAAAATAAGAAGCATTTAAGAAGTATAAATTATAAATTGGTAGTTACAAAATAGTCATGGAGATGTTAAGTATAGCATAGGAAATACAGTCAATAATATTGTAATAACTTGTATCAGATGGGTACTAGATGTATCAGGGTGATCACTTTGTAAGTTGTATAAATGTCTAATCACTAAGTTATACACCTGAAACTAATATAATGTATGTGAACTGTAATTGAAAAATAAAAAAATTTTTATTTTTTGTCTCCAATAGAAAAGCATAAACTTACATTTAACCAAAAGCTAATGATAGTTCCAATTATAAGATGCACGTTTTTATGTTATAAACATATTTTAAGTTTATTGCCATGGAAACGAAAACCAAAGCAAGCTATTTTTGTGTCTATTTATTTATGGTGCAATACAGGTACATCTGTTTCAGTCAAGTCTCTGCAGATTCACCATTAGATCTACCTTGGATGAACCCCAGTTGCTGCATTCCGAAGAAAGATTATATTCTTGGCTTAGCTATTTAGGGTGGAACAAAAGCATATTTTAAGCAGCTTCTTTCTCTAAAAGGACCAACTTTTTTTTCTCATGAAAGCAAATCTATCTGAGAAATCCCATTTTCAATGAATTGCATTGCATGGTACATCAAATATTTTAATTCTAATGCTAACGTATATAATATTTAATGCTAAAACTTATGACATAGCAAACAACTAAAATGGCACAGTCCATTAAGGTAGTTGCTAGCCATATAAGGCTACTGAAATTTAAGTGAATTAAAATTACATGAAATTAAATCTTCAGTTCCTCGGTCATACTAGCTCAGTGGAAATACTCAAGAGCCACATGTTGACAGGAACTACTGCATTAGCTCTGATAAAGAGCTTTTTCATCACTATGGTAAGTTCTATTACACAGATAGCCCCAAACTAAAGATCAGAGATTTCTTAGATAACAAATTTTTGGTTAATCCAAAAAAAAAAAAAAAATGCATATTTTTTCCTAGTCACATGCATTCCAGGGTAATAAAAACTAACTAGACTTGATGTCAACTCTTCTGTGCAGAATAATGAAATGTTGAATGATTAATGTTAAATAATACATTTATATTATGATATATCCTCATATCCTCAAATTTCAATAAATGTATGCACACATTTTTATTTTAGGAATATAAGTTAACATGTTGTGTGGCTACTTGTGAGGAAAGATCATAACCTTAATAGCATAAAGAAAAGTCTGGTATCTAATGCATACTCTTGCCACAGTGAAATATGGAATGAAAAGAAAGGGTAAGAAAATCCACTCCCAGAGTATAACTTAAAAAAAAAAGCATCAAAGGCTTGAAGTTTGTCTAAAAGTCTATATGAAAATAATTACAGAGAATGTTTCTAATTCCATTAATATAATAAAGGCACTCAGTCACTTTTTTGTTTGTTTGTTTTAAATGAACGAGAAATCAGTAAAATGCTCATTTTGAATAGTACTCTATGATAACATTAAATATAATCTGTGAATGGTTATTATATAACTATACTGCCTGGTTTAAGTGATTTTTAATATACTTTAGAATATTCATGACTTATAACTAACTCTAAGTGCATAATATGTGTTTGGTCACATACTTGATTAAATAGCACCTTTGGCATTTCTAGTTAAAAAAAGTACCACACCCCTATCGGTTAGGTATATAAATTTGTTTAAGATGATGTCTCTATAAGACAATCATGCATGACATACGTAGATTTACAGAACTTTGTACAGCATGGTAACCTACCAAAACTTCAAGGACTTCTTAAAATGTTTTTAGAATAGAACTTATTAAAGCAAGATATCTAAGGACTACATATGACGTAAGTACATTTATGTAAGATGCTACAAGAGGCAACAAGCAGCACTCCAGCAGAGTGGTTAGAACTGTGACCCAAGAGGTAGAACTAAATAACTTAAACTGAATGAAATAACTGCTTTAATCCGGTATGTGCCCTAGTGCCTAATACAGTGTCTTGCGAAAGAAATAGCTAATATGTATTTGCTGAATAAGTTAATTAATTAAGCACTTTGCATCTGTGTAAAGAACACAGGCTTTGCAATCAGCATAGGTTCAAATCCAGGTACAAACTTGGCTTACTCTTAAAAATAGTATAATATATTTATCTTCGAGGCCTGTGGAGAGAGTTAGGTACAATGCATGTAAACCACTAAGCACAGCCTTGGGCAACTAGAAAGTACCCAGTAAATGATCACTGATAATACTGTTTTGCTCACCATTGGCAGGTTTACTACAGTAGAACCTTGACACTAGTCAGCAGAGTTAAATGGATTTAAACAATATACCCTAAAGACTACTCCTGTGTGAAAAGAGTCTGAAGGAATATATATAAACACATATATAGGCAATAACGAAAGAGTCCATGATTAGATTCCTAGACATAAGCCAATCCTGAGAAGGCTGATATTTTTATGAACCTATCTAGCCAAAGAGCCAATGAACAACACAATTTTCAGAGTACAGAGGGTGGTATCTATAGGAAGATTTTATGTCCTGTGTAGGTCAAGCCGTGTGGATCTGTGGTTTGCTCTAGACTTATTGTGTAAATTCTGCAAATGTTTCTGAGGTCCTATCATGTGAAGTACTGGTTTATGCACTGGGGATGCAACGATGACAAGATGCAGCCCTTGCTCTCGAGATAAATGTGCTAATGACAGAGTCACAGAGCCGGTGCTATGACAGAAGATAGTTGAGCACTTAGTCTGGTCTTGATATTTAGGCAAGGCTTCTTAAAGGAGATGACATCTGAACTAAGGTCTAAAGAATGAGTAAGAATTATCCCAGACGATAAAGGTGATAGACTTTTTTTATGCAGAAGTAATGGCAGAACAAAGGCCAAGGAGAGTTAAATTGCATAAAAAGGTGCCAGTTTTAAACAGCCTGCTATTGCTCGAACAGCAGAGTAGAGTGGGAAGAATTTAAGCTGAAGAGAGAGAGAGGAGCCAGGTCATGGAGAGCCTGGCAGGTCAGGCAACGAAGCCTGGAAACTATTAGATGAGAGAGAGTATGTCAAAGCTAAGCAGCTTTCCAGACTTAAAGTCAAGGGGACTGTACAGAGGAAAGAAAAAAGTATTTTGTTTTTTTATTTAAATCAAGGCTATCAATAAGTATTCAGAATTGGTGACTTCTCATTAGATGATATTCTTGGCTTAGTGAGTGACGCGAGCTGGAAAATGGAGAATCACTTTCTCTTAGGTAACAACAAGTCATTTATCATTCCAAGAGACTACAATCAATCCAAGTAAGGTCATCTCGAACAAAATGCCTGACAATTACAGGCACCTATGAACACCCCTGCACTTGCCTAGCAAGGTCTTAAGACTTAAAGACAAGCTACTAGAGTTTATTTGCAGGTAGAAGCTACAAAGAGTATCCAAAGGATTAAAATAAAGTCCACTCTTTCTACTTCTAGGGTCTTACCATCTGATTAAGGAAAGAGAAGACACTCAGCTTAAAAACAAAAAAATGAAGAGAGAGAGAAACAGACTTACGGAGACCACACTCTTGGGAAAGCCTCTATTTCTTCCTGTGTGTACTCGTCTAGACGTTTCGGTACTTTCCGTGGTTGAGGAAGCTCTTCCACTAAATTCTTAAGAATGTCTTCTGGTATATCCTGGGTTAAAAAAAATTTAGACTTAATTTTCTTAAAATACATTCCTTAGTAATTAATAATACTTAGTAACTATTAAAAACTAAACAAAAGCAATATTTATAAAATGAGAAGAACCATATAAACTTTGAGAAAATCTTTAAAAGTACATTAGACCAACAATATAAGTAATCTCATTATAGTAATACACTTCCTACTTTAATCTTGACAAACATATTTTTCATGATAAATTCGATGTCTTCAATTTTGGCAACTATTGAGACACTAAATTCTATTTTTTTCTTAAATACTGTTTAATTTATTCCTCTCCTTTCACACTGCCTTGGCTCATTCTCGTGATTTTTTTATCCGAAGAGTGTGTGTACTGGGTCTACTGCTTTCAATCTACACTCCATGTTGTTGCCAGAAAAAACTTGCAAAAATGAAAATCTGCTGGCTCTTTTGAGTCGTTTAGCCAACAAACATTGAACTCCTTCAATGAGCCAGGAGTTGCGCTAGGTGCTGAGTATATGAAGGAAACGAGATCAGGGCCTCTAACGGCTTGCAATTTTTAAAGTCCGTCCTCAACCAGTGTCCTCACTGCTAGCCCACCTCTTTGACCTCGCTTCTCTTCACATACCCCTGGCTTCTGGGTTATCAGCCTCTTTACCTTTCATGCACTGGTCTACACTGATATTCTGGCGTCTTGATTAATAGTATTCCCCCCCGTCCAGAATGACTTTCTCTGGTTATATATCCAAATGTTCAGAAAAATGAAAAGAAAAGTAAAATGCAAAAAAAAGTCAGAATTTGGGTAATAAAAAGCAAACTAAAGAGTAAAGCATGTATGTGAGACATAGGTTAAAAGAAGAAAGAACAGGAACTAAATAAAATGAAGAGCATGAGTAACCATAAGAATTAAAGTGCCTCCTTTAACCTGAGCACAGAGAAGGTAACCCCGAAATGTTAACTGAGTGCGTTTATGGAGATTTAAGAGCCCTCTGAACAGAGAAGGTGGTTAACCTAAGAGGGAAATAAGGAAAAAATTAAGAGTAGAAAAAAGAAACACAGTGATTGTCTATTATTAGTTTTTTATATTTTTAAAGAAATTTCTGTTCTACAGAGAAGTTATGAGAATACAGTGAACCCTCATCCAACTTTCACCTACATTTACCAATCATTAAAATATGACATATTTACTTTCTTTTTATCTATACACATTTATACACTTCCTTTTTGGCTGAACCATTTGAGAGTAATTTGCAAATATTTCACCCCTAAATATTTCAGCTCACATCTCCTAAATATAAAGACTGTCTCCTACATACACATTACAAATTCATGTTCAGGAAAATTAGCACTGATAGGATGAACACTTTTTATCTAATATACTATCTATTTTCAAATTTCTCAAACTGGACTAATGTCTTAAATATCTTTTTCCCAGTCCAAGATCCAGTCAAAGATGAGCTGCTGCATTATATTATGTTGTTTAACATACATCATATGTTCTTTAGTCTCCTTTAATCTGAAGAGTTCCCTTCCTTTTACTCTTTCATGAAATTAACATTTTTTAAAAGTCAAGGCCAATTATTTTGCAGAATGTCTTTGTATTTGTAGTTTCCTCATGATTAGATTCAGATGAAACATTTTGGCAGGATGCTACATAGTTTATGTTGGGCCTTTAGTGCTTCATTCATAGCAGGAGACACATGATGTCAGTTGTCCCATACTGATGACACATTTGATCTCTTGGTTATGGTTGGTGTCTATCAGGTAGCTTTAATGTAAAAGTATCTTCCCCCTTTCAATTCATAAGTATTCTGCGGCACAATGTTTTGAAACTGTGAACATCCTGTTGTATAATCGTTTATCTGATGACTACAGAATATGCTGATAATGGTCGCTTTTCTAATTCAGTATTATTTCTACATTTATTAGATGACATTCTTCTCTAAAGAAGAGCTTTTCCTTTTCCAGAAAAGAGAAGAAAAATTATAGTAAGTTAAAAATAATTTTTAGACAATTATTATGGGCTCATAGATTTCTGTTTTCTATCCAATGTAGTCTATTATTAAAACTCTTCATTTTAAGGCAAATACAGTCCCATATTTGGTCATTGGGCACCAATTCAAGCTGCTTCCCACTTTCTCTTGACATTTCTATTGGGTCATGAGCACCGCCCTACTTTTTGTTCCTTATTATTTCACTGTCTGCATGAGTACACCCCATAATAACTCTGTTCTTTCTCTGTGCCAGACCCAGAATCAACCATTTTTCTAAGGAAAACCAGGTTCCTTTTAGCAGGGACTAGCGCTTATAAACAAGATCTAGGCACTAGTTGTGCTTGCTTCTATTCTTGCTGTATTATATTTTATGAATATATAAAACCTTATGATAAAATAGTTAAAAGTAAAAAACTAAATAATCTAAAAGGTATTCTCTAAAAAACAAACAAACAAACAAAAAGCAACACGTTCTCTTCTATATTCCACTCTATATTTTTCCACTTAACAATATGTCCTGGAAAAAATTATCAAATAATATTTGTCATTCTATTTTTATAACTGCATAGTACTCACTAATGGATATAACATAGTTTATTCAATTTTGTATAAATAAGTACTTATTTCTATTAATTTACTATTGTAAATAATGTACAAACAATAATCGTGTATATTTTCAGACTACATTGCTATAAATGAGATTTCTGGATAAAGTATGAATCTCCTTACATATGTATTTTGTTAAATATTACCTAATTACCAAATTCCTTATAGGTTGCAGCATTTTGTACTTCCACCAGCAACGCATGAGTGCCTGTTTCTCAACAGCCCTGAGGATAAAATGCGTTGTCAAGCTTTTAAATATTTAACAATCTATTCTTGGGGGAATGGGCTCATTTATTTTATAGTCTGAAATTATTTAAGTAATTTACTGTTTAACTAAACTACCATGAATACTTAAAACACCCCTACTCAAAACTGACTACCTTATAACTGGGACAAATATTGTTTTTTTGTCCTTTAGAAAGCGTGGTTTCCAAAAACTGTGACAGTACAATCAGAAACAGGAGTTTTTAAATTCTTGGGATTTCATGAAGATCATTTAACTTTAGATGATGAGACTGCTCCCGTACCTGGAACCTCAAGGTAAAGTGAATAATGAAAAGTTATTTCACTCATCCATGTAAAACAAAGGTAAAAGTATGAATAATTTACTCATGTGCTGTTTGAGTGGCTTGAGTAGTTGATATAATTTGATATTCTGGAATGAATTTCTACATGATTCCTTTGCTAGGAACTATAATGACAATCATCACCACGTAATGATAGCAACTAGCATTGATCGAAGTGCTCTAATGTTATTTCATTTAACCCTTATGTCGTAGGTAGTATTATTACACTCATCTCACAGATGAGAAAACAGAAATAATAAGTAACTAATCCACATAAAGTCAGTAAATTGTAGGGCATGGATTCTAATCCTGTCTGATTTCAGAGCCTGCATTCAATTATGTTATTATAGAACCTTTCTCTAGTGTTTCATTATATACTAAAGAGAAAAGCTAAGTATTTAAAACAGTTTAATATTAATAACAGGAGTTCTGATCATAGTTCCTTGTTTAAAAAAAAGCAGACATTAAAGTGAAAAAATCAGAGCTTACAGAATTTCAATTTTCAGTCCAATGATAGCTTACTTTATGATTAAAAATAAGAGCAATTGTTATAATGGTGTGTTCACTATAAAATGTAGAAAATATTTCAGAAGTTGATATGAAATTATTAGAAATAAGTCTATGGCAATTATTTTAAAAGAACATAAAGTATTTAATTGAAAATTTAGGAAAAGCATCATTACCAATGACCACTGACTTACCTCATCTGGGAAAAGATGCAGCCTCTGCATCATAGTTCTTCGGTGAAGGTTTTTTGGTAGCATGCCATAAATAGCTAGTTTTACAATCTGAAAAACATATATACATAGGACTCAATAAAAAGGAAACATGATGCGACATAAAGAAGGCAAACATAATTAGAGATAGTGAGGAAAACAAGTTGGCTAAGACTCAGTAATGAAGGCAAGAAATGGAGACCTAAGTAGATATGTGGCAGCAAGAGAAAAGGAATTTTTATTATTTCGTGTAGTACTATTTTCTTTAGGCTCTATTGATTTTTCTTTGGGACAAAAAAAAGATTAAAAATAATCTATATATGTGCCTATTTTAGCTAGACTAAGAAGAAATTCTCTAAGCTTTTACAAGGACCCGTGGCTCAAATAATCTATCACAGCGAATATAGCAGAGCCTAGAGAGGCCTGAAGCCTGTGTCTTCCAGGTGAGAGATCAGGTTTCCAATTCGAACACTGAGCCCGACCGTGCAGCTATGAGACTGGCTCCATGGGTGCCAGATCTACAACAATGGTACTGGTTAGCAGCCACTGAAAACTTACTATGTGTACGGTGCTCAGTGCATTATGTTCATCGTCTTGTTTAGTGCTGAGTCTCATTTCGCAGAGGAAGAAACGGATTTAGTGAGGTTACAGAGCTCCTCCAACATCATGTATCTGATAAGTGGTGGTGCAGAAACTCAAACCAGGCAGTCTAACTCCACAACAGACACAGAGCACATGCAATCGCATCCCTATTGTGTTTCTCTCCATAACTTACCAAGAAGACGAGTCCCTTCTCTCTACTATACCCATTCCCAACATGGCAAACCTTTCCATGGTTTACTTTTTTCCCTTTTAAGGTTATTGTCATGGTTGGTTTTAATGTGACTTCATGTATGTTTTGCAAGAGAAAGTCACCCTGTGCTCCATGATATCCTGGAGGGCCTCCCGGTATACAGTGTATGCAAGTACACTGTGAGTTCTTCAAAAAAACTACTGATAGAGACATTTGGAGTGTTACATAGATTTTTATCATTTGTACTCATATTTCAAGGATATAATTTGACATGTATTCAAGCTAAATGCACTAAAACATCACATGTTAGAACAAGGGTTTCACTGTAAGAAGATTTCCTATTCCTTTTATTTTCTTATCAAATTAGACTACAAAACCTTACTACGTATACAAGCTAATGACATTCATATATATTTTCTATCTATTTTCTAAGTTAGTGCTATTAATACTTTATGTTCCGGAAACCTTACTTAAATATAGATTTATATTACTAAAAGCAATTGAAAATTCAGTTCATCACACGAGCCACTTTTTATGCAGTCAATTGCCACATGTGGCCAATGGTACATATTTGACAGTGCAGACAGAATATTTCTATCATGATAGAGATTTCTAATGGACAACACTGAACTAGATATTAGTGTTTAAAATTTTTTATGTTTTAAAAGTCAAGTAAAAACTAACAATGTTAAGACTACTCAGCATTTTTTCTGGATAAACAAGTCATATCCTCTGAAAATCATCCTTTTAGCAATTTTATTCTATTAGTAGGGGTACATGGCATTTGGGTTTCATGTTCTTAAAAAATTTAGTTGTATTTACTTGAATTAACAAACTGGTATTTTTAGAATTTGCCCTATTAAAAATGCAAACATAACACTCAAATTAGGAAAAGCTAGAAAAATGTGACAATGTTATATAGTGACAGGGGAGAGAAAAAAACAGGCAGATGAACATATATGCCCCCAAAATAAATGCAGATGAAACACATAAGGACACAAACTCTTAAAGAAACTAAAATATATGACAGAGATAAAGGATATAACAAAAAGGCTGTATCAATATATTCATTTGAGTTTTAGAATTAATGACCTTCTGTGAATTATAAAAATATTGGAAATATTTAATAAAATATTAATAACTATTTAAATGTACTAATTAATGTATCTTACAAGTCATTCCAAGATTGTACTAATATTAGAAGAATGCATTATGAAACAAATTCTCTTACAGGCCACATCACCAAGTACTGATTAACAAATTATGTCTGCTGGCAGAAGACTCACTGCTCCAGACAGACACTTAGTGGAAGTAAAAGAACTGACTTCTTCCTTAACAAGCCATTTTTTTTCAAAACACAAAGTCAAAATTAACACTTAAAAAAATATTAAGATCTTTTATCGATGTAATAATTTAAATGGATTTAACTCTGAAATATTTTCTAAGCCTTCCATCAAACATTTTTAAATGCATTTCCATCTTTGTTTCTTAAAAAATAATAATTTAAAACCATTTTACTACATTTTTTAACCAATGTAACCACAAATTTAGCCAACGCCAAATTCTTAACATCAAAAAGTTGGACTATACTGCCTCCTAGTGTACAGTGAGCATGTGTAAATAAACAACAAAATTTTATATTTAAAAACATTTAAAAATATTAACACTATAATCTGTTAGAACAGCTATGGTATATATTACCAGCAGCCCTTACAACTTTTTAATACCATTATATGCAATCTACATTAATAGTCAAAATAGGATACTTCATTTGAACTATAATAGTCTAGAAACACATGTTAAGAAACAGAATGTTAGATATCAAGAAGCAATCTCTGAGTATGTTTTTGTATAACAGATGTGATAAAATGTAAAAATAAATAGTAAAGCATGGAACTTCTAAATGTCATGTCAGGCCTTATAATACAACATGCCCCCCACCTCCTAAAATTTTAGGAAGTCCTACACCAAACTAATGGTTGTATCCTGACAATAACTATTTATTTTTGTTCATCATTTTAGGAAAATAAATAAGAATGTCTTCACAGTATAACGTTTTGCTCATTTATAAATGTAATTAGGTTAACGGCTAAGATAGTTAATGATGGGTAAAATGCTCTTCATTTTATAAGTATAGTTCAAAGACTGGGTTTTAAAAAGTTAAGGAAGGAAGAATAAAATTGTTAAGTGGCAACAGGGGACTGCTTTTAGTAATATTGAAGACTGATATTTGGATTAGAAACTTTTCCCAGTATATAACTCAAATAATAAAGTAATAAATAAGCATTAGTGAAGCTAATGATATTGTTCGAAAAAATATTTTTTAAAGCATGGAACCTACTGGAGGCCAGAAACAGGAGAAAGTACTACAAGAATAAGTGCCAGGGCTAGCATTTGTCCTGAGATCACCAGCTTAGCGCAGGGCTTGTGTTTTAAAGGAATACTACTTTGGGTTCCGGTACTGAGACTCCACCAGAAACCTAGATTTCAGTGGAAAGGCAACAGCAGAGTGTAGAATGGGAAAATTTAAAAAATAAGAGTATTTCTTGATAGGAAACTGTTAACCATGAGCTTGACCTCTCAAGGCTCAATTTGAGGCCCAAAATATATCCCTTTTATAGGGATCAAAATCTAAAGTATAGCTTAAAGAGGTCTTAGAAAATCTGGAAGTCTAAAGAATAGTTTAAAGAGCCCCATGCACCTGCCAGAAGCTAAGTAAAGCTTTCCTGAAGAAAATTTTTTTTAACATAGGTCTCAAAGAATTCTCAGAGATGAAGTTCAAGGTACATGAGCTTACCAAGTATCCTTAGCAAAAAACAATATATTATAGATTCAAAAAGACCACAAATATTAGACTCGAATACAAATGCTAAGAATTATGTTTAATATCCTTAAAGAAAAATAAGAAGGAACCAAAGGATGACAAAGGAACAGAAAGATGATTAAAACTGACCAGCAAACTTGAAAGAGAAACAAATAGTACAATTTCTATATATAAAAATATAAAAATTGAAAGGAACTCAATAAAAGGGTCAATCAGATAAGACATAGGTAAAAAAATAGAGAACTAGAACATAGATCTAAAGAAATTATTATAATGAAGCACAGAGACAGGGAGACATAAAATTCGAAAGAGAGCTAATGAATCAAGCACAATAAAGTGAGACATTTGACTGTAAGTATAATTAGATTTCCAAAGGGAAAGAACAGATAAAGAAGAAAGGGAGCCAATATTAGAAGATATAGAAGCTGACAAATTTTCAAAATGGAAGACACCAATTCTCATGCAAAATAAATAACAAGATTTGAAAAGAAACATGAAATCCAAAGCCACAGATCGTAAAAGTATCTAGAAAGGAAAGGCAGAATACATACAAAGAAACAGTTAGATTGACATCTGACTTAGCAACAGTAATAACAGAAGCTCAACTCTGTTTAAATAATAGCTTCAAAAAGCTAAGAGAAAAAAGTGGTTATTCTAGAATTGCATATGTATGCAAAACTATTAGGAGTGAAGGCAAAAATAAAAATAGGTGCAGACAAAAAAGTGAGTTCACTATTAAGAGATCGTTACAGGAGTGTCGGAAGTACTTCAAGAGGGAAACAGCCCAGAAGGAAGGCTGAGTTACACGAAAGGATCGTAAGCAAAAAAATCATAAATCAGTAACTGTGTAAAACAATAACAAGAATTTGAACTGGAAGGGATTTAAAAAAATCTTGAATAGAGAAAGCATATAGATTGTGAGGGTGAGTAGGTGTTAAAAATCTTCTAAGTGCCTTGATTTAATTTGAAGGGAAGTAAATTTATTGACTAATCTTAGACTTCTGGTAAATAAAGTCCATTAATCCAAAAGAAGGTAAGAAAGAAGGGGAGGAAAACAGAAAATAAAATCTAGCTCAGTACAATTTAAAACTGTAAAATGTTATATCAGGCAAACACTATCAAAAGAAGGTTGACATAGCTATATTAACATAAAAAAAGTAGACCTCAAGTTATAAAGCACACTGGAGATAAAGAGGGTAGGTCAGTATGTACCTTGATCAATATCTTAGGAAAATTATAATTCCGAACTTAAATTTATCTGACACTAAATCTTCAAAAGATAAAAAGCAAAAACTAACAGAACTACAAGGAAAGATGAACAAATCTACAATTGAGATTTTAACATAACTCTTTCAGATAATTAATAAATCTCAAATGAGCAAAAAAAGTCAGTAAGAATATAAGATTGGAACAACGTACTTAGTATATTTGATATAATGGACATATAAATATACACACATATGTACATAACTATCTCTTGCTCTCTCTCTCTCTCCAAGGAATTTTCAGCAAACACATATTTTAGGTGATCATGCAATTGTGTCAAGAAATTTTTTAAAAAGCATCAAAATTATCTGACTAAATAAAACATACTAAATAGTAATTAAAAATACACAGAATTGAATGATAATGAAATAATCCTTATCAAAGCTTGTGTGATACAGTTAAAGAGAAGAATTTATAGCTTCAAATGCTAGCTACATTAGAAGGAAAATTGAAAAAGCAGAGTCTGAACCAGTCTTTCCACAGATGATAAATATTAAAAAATGCGATACACGTACTGCCACTGGATCCTTCTGGTGAAGTTGAGCAGCTGTTACTTGTTTAAATCCACCTGGGTAACTGTTAAAAGAAGCAAAGACATTAAAACTGAGAGTAGGCTATGGTCCAGTATTCTTGAAAAGAAAATTCTTTTATAATACAAAAACCATTTTTATTATGAAATTATACTTGTTTCTGGAAACTATGCTATCCACTAGTATCTTAAAAATTAAGTAGTGACTTATGCTATTTGAAATGCTATTCTCTTAAGTGGGTAACCACCACTATTTCATAAAAGTCCCACATCTTGAAAAATTTCTTGGGCTAACTATATTTCTATTAGAATTTAAAGTGATTCATCATTCATTCATTCATTCATTCAGTCAGGCTATTTGAAATGCTATTCTCTTAAGTGGGTACCACCACTATTTCATAAAAGTCCCACATCTTGAAAAATTTCTTGGGCTAACTATATTTCTATTAGAATTTAAAGTGATTCATCATTCATTCATTCATTCATTCATTCATTCATTCATTTACTCATTCATGATGGCGTTATTTATCATTGCTTGAATTAAGAAAGAAAAGGCAATGAGCCAAAATGTTTCATATTCCCTGCCAAATCAGGCAAAATGTCTGTATAAACTAGTGGTCCGTCAGATTTGGGGAAAATAATGGTAGACCATTTGGTTCTTAAGCCAAGTCAAACTCTCAACAGGTCATGATCCTGTTCCTTATTAACAGTTGGTAAAAGACCCCTAAGAGTTATTTTTGGTCTTAAGTAATAAAATATTTCAGTGCGTTCAGATCAAAATTATATATAAAATGGATAAAATGGAGATTTAAAAATATATGTTTATTTGGGATAGTACTGGAGGCAGATTAGTGACCTGTATACCAGAGATGCAGTTTGCCAGTGGCTACCAATATAATATGAGGCAACTAACTCACTTTACCTGTTTACATATGAGTTTACTCATCTAAGAAAAATGATAACATCTGCCCCATCTACCTCTCAAGATATTTATGAGAGTCAAATGAGAAAATGTTTGTCAAAGTGCTTAAGAAATTTTAAACAAAAATAATATACAGATGTAAGCTTTTATTACACTGAATGGATAAATAAAGCCTAAATGATTTTCAAGGAAGGAAAAAAGAAAATGTAAAATCAGTGGCCGATGCAAGGGAAGTTGAGGATTCCCTAAATGTGATTCCTTTTATCAGCTTCTTTCAAGAAGACTTGAAAAGTCTTTAAGATGATTTAAAGAACCACCTTTTAGGAATAAAATTTAAGTATACTGAAAAGTTTGCTGAGAAACTTAGGTAATTTTCAAACTGATATTCTTTCATCTGTTTCATAGAAATTCAGCTTCAGAGAAAGAAATAAGTCTCTAGACTTCAATTCTTGTATTCTTTCTTTCCATGGAAAAAAACACTCTATGATTTCTATGCTAAAGATGATCTTTCTACTTTGAACACTGAGATGGCAAATAATAAAGCATAATACCATTTACATTATATTTCAGGAGTTTGGACTTTACACTGAAAAATTTGGAGAGCTACTGTAAAATTCTGAGTAGGAGAACATCTTGAGTAATGCAACACTCAGTTGATTTTTATTGATGGAAAAGTAACTAAATTTCTTCTCCAGTACAGGATAGCCTGACTGCAGTAGAAGATATTTGTTTTGCATGTTAGCCAAGAGTTTTTCAATTCATATTAATTCAGTAAACATTTACTGATTGCCTGCTATGCTGGGTGCTGGAGATATACAGATAAATCCCATAGGATCCTGTCCTCAAGAATAATGACTAAATTCTGTTGCGACATCTAATGGGAAGCTATATCCCTAAATTATGCCAGTATATTTAGACGACTAAAGAGTTAGACTTCAAAGTTCAAAGTGCACACATACCCATCTCACTCAACCTCTAAAACCATTAGAAGTGAATGTTTATAAAATATCTGGACAAGAAAGAATTCCTTGAGACTAGAAAACACAGAAGGAATTACAAAGGAAAAGAGAGATTACATAAAAGTTAATTATATAAAAATTAAATAACCATAAAGCAAAAACACATCATAAAGAAAATTTGTAAAAAGTAAAAAATATGATAGTGGATTAATATTCTTAATAGGTAAAATGTTCAGAGAAAGTGATCAGGAAAGCATTGAAAGCTCATTATTATGCAAATGTAAATAATTGCATGCCCATCGAAGTTGCAGAGCTTTATTATTAAACAATTTTTAATGATAATACTGTGTACAGTTTTGTAATAATAGACATTCCTATGTACAACTATTGCAATAGTAAACTGGTGTTTGGAAATATCAAAGGCCTAAAAATGATCATCCCTTTGATTCTCAATTTCATTAAATTTCTAGAATTTTAAATAACTATATACTGAAAAGCTTAATGGGTAAAGATATTTTCCACTTCTTTATAAAAGTCAAAATTTTAATTTCAAAAAAAGAGCAATGATTAAGTAGGGTAAATCATATTAGATACTAGTGCCTAATGACTAAAAATAATACTGATAAAAGGGCTCTCTGAGAATTTTACATTAAGTGAAAAAGAATATTAACATAGATATTAAAATGTTGGGTCAAAGGATGAAGGGTAATTTTTAGTTCCTTCTTTAAACTTCTCTGTATTTTCTAGTACTAGCATGTATTAAAACTTTTACAATTAGAAAGTTAAATTTTGAACACATAATTGCAATAAAGTATTAGGAGCATATTAAAAGTAGTATGTCCAAAATATAAGTCAAGAGTCAACAGAAACAGAGAAACAAAAAAGTGGTTGGCTCTATGGGGGATGAGGAAATAGGGAAGGCATCAGAGGATGTGACATCTGAGCCAGGTTTAATGGATAAGGAGGGTTCTTAAGAAACATTCTTGTCAAGGAGAACAACACATGCAAAGGCAGAGAGGTAAGAAACAGCAATATGTCGGCTAAAATGAAAGATTATGAAGCAGTAGTGGTAATTCGATGCCATTAACTTGCAAAGACATTTGAAATTTCACAGGTGAGAGAGCACTACTGACCAGGGACACTACCGGGAGGATACATTACACTAGCAGTTCGCTATCAGCTGTGCTATTATATTCCTTCATTTGCAGTAATACTACAGATATTATTGTTATACGAATTACCTAGCATTTTGTGTCAATACTTCCCTTTATGGTTTGATCACATTATGTTATCCTGACTTTTCATATTTCTTTCCTAATTACCTGTAAATTTTATAGAATTTGGTTTATATGTAGAGATATGCCAATAGCAGAAAGTACTAAAGATGGATGTGAATTTATTTTTGTTAAGTTAAATAAAGATTTCATAAATGTGTTGAAGGGGAGGAATAGGCAAAGGCCGGCTAAAGGAAGCAAACAAGTTATTCCAGGCATTTAAGACCTACCTGGGCAAGAGATGAAAAGAAAAAGATGAGAACATCAAAGTCTGCTTGTCTAAGACAAAGGTGCAATTGGAAAGAAAAGAATAATTTTGATCAAGAATGAAAGATCGACTAGTCTAACCATATCTTACATAACAGTGTAGAAGGTAAGCTTAATTAAATTTGTACATGACCTGAAGATGAGGGGTTAACTAACATTATATGACTGAATCGAGATCTCGAAAGATCTTAAAAACCTGGAGATAAAATTTGACATGGAGTAAACCTAAGGTATTGTAGTTGGATTAAAATGAAACTAAAACACACAGGAAGGAGGAAACATGGTTGAACAGCAGCATGTTTGAAAAAGACTTAAAAGAGTTTTAGCTGAGAGTGAACTCAGCGTGTCCCATAGTAATATGGCCCTGAAAAGTTCTATGGCAATAGAACACCGCATAACAGAGATGGAGAAGTCACATTGTATTTGGAGACCATCAGAGCACAACCAGGCAGGCGTATTTCGTTAAGAAGCAATGACTGTATCTAGAGAAGAGTAAACAAGAAATGATGGAGATATTTAAAGTGAAGTTATATAAAGAACTCTGAAGGAACTAGAGATGTTTAGCCTAAGGAAAAGACAAATCAGTGAGCCCTTACTGATCACTGTCTCAAAATTATCTGAAGAATGTCATGTGGAAGACATAATTATTTTTGTCCCAAAGAGAAAAAATAAGACCAATATGAAAGCTAGAGAAAAACAGATTACAACTCAATAGCATAAAGATCTTTGTAAAAGTTGGACCATTTCCAAGGTGGAATAAATGGGCTGCCTTATGAACTGTGAGACCGGAACAGGTCAAACACAAGCCGAGAGACCTACAGTTTGAAAGGTATGTTGTGGAGATTTTAGGTTATCTTCCAAATTCGGGGTTTCACTCACCACTCCTTAAACATCTCAAGTACTTTCAGATGTTCAGGATGGTCCTGGAAACAGCAGTAAGATGAATTGCAAGAAGCAGAAAGAAAGAAGACTGATTAAAAAATGAGAATAATCTTGATCAGAGAGGTTTATGTGAAAAGTCTCCAGAAAAAACAGATCAAAGGATGAAGGGTCAGTTAATAACTAGTATTTGGTACAGGTTTGTGTTTTCCTGACCGAGTAAATTACAAATGTAGCATGAGTAAAATTAGTATTTTCTTAAATGCTAAATTTTGAAAATACATTTTTCTTTTAAATAAGATCAATACTATTATTAAAGTAATACATTTCAACTGCCTGTCTTTCTTGATAACGACGCTGTCTTACCCAGTGTGTGAGGAGTATACTTTTTGTTCCCATTTGTTTCCAGAAAATGCGATGTGCCTTGTATTCATTATGACAACATGATCGCCACAGTTACCTAGGTTTAAAAAGAAAAAAGAAAAATAATCACGACTTTTAAGACAAAAGTGGCCTTGGTTATTTATAATGCTTATCAAAGTCTTAGTAACACATTAAAAATATAAAGCAAGCAATATCGAAATCCTTGAATAGATTTCTGTTACTGCTTTACATAAAGTCTAAGTATAGAAAGAATTGGCTAGCCGTTTGGAAAATTTTGACACTGTAAGGTAAAAGAGAATTTAATAAAGATGCCAGTACCAACAATACATCTTTAAAGGCAAACTACTATTCTTTCTATCATATTTTCCCCTTAATAATTATACTTTACTAAAAATGTTTATGTTAAGTACTTCTAAATATCTAGTAGAAATTTTTCCTTAAAGGCAGAAGAGAAAATGAAAACAATATGCATATAGATATAAAAAAGTATGTTTTGCCAGTAGGTAAATTGAAAACAAATGTAAAACGTCACAATTTATTCTTCTCACATTTAGAGAACAATAGAGCAGTATGACCTTACGCTAACTACCAACCCAAGGTTTCTTCCAACTACATATGACTAGTAAAATTTAAACTTTCATTCTCAACTATGACTACATACATATTTGACAGGATGGGGTGACCTGAAAATTAAAATAGATGTACTGAATTAACTTTCCAGTGAAAAGTACCCCTGAGATCGGCTATTTGTCAAAAAAAAAATTAAAAAAAAAAAAAAGCCCTTGAAAGTCAAGTTTTCAAATGACAAAATCAATCAGAAACGTTTCTTAAATGCCTATTCTACTAACAGAAAAACAAACTTCATGATTCTAGAAGCTTATTTAAGAAAGAACACCACTGAAATAGCATGTACACAGTCTATGAAAACTAAAGATTACATTATATGATTCTATACAGAGCTTTGAATTTGAATGGCAGAATTTTCGGAGAGAAGTTCATAGTCTATATCTGACAAAGGTAAAGGAAAGAGGATAAAGCAGGTGGGTTTTCTTCACTAGAATGAAAGGGAATCCAGAGAGGTGAAGGAAAGACGCAGGAAGCTAGCTGTTAAATGTGCCAAAAAAATATTTTGACAGTACTTGGTGAATTAAGTGGCTAAATTTCCTAAAGGTGACACATGGTGGGCTACTAAGGCAGTTGGGTAGATGAACCAGAAGAACCACAAAAGAGGGTGAGAAGCTACCTATCTAGTCTCACACATATGCTGAAATTACCTTAGCTTTCACACAGGCATTTACAGTAGAATAAGCTAAGGCCCATTAAGATTAAGGGATTTGTCAAAAGCTCACACACCAAGTTACTTAACACTCTGTTCAGGCTCTATCCATGACACCTATTTAGAGGGCAATGGAATCTTTAACTTTCCATTAAAGCTGAATTTATTTGTAAAATTAAGATTGCAAAATTAAAATGATACAATAATTAACATCTGAAATAGACTGGCATTTAACTGAATAGTAAGAGAGGAAAATGTGCTAGCTAGGTAGTGTTAACAGCATCATCAACTTTCTGCTTTTTAACAAGTCCTTAAAAGATTTAAATAAATGATATAAAACAGAAAACCCATGATTAAATTAGATCTAATCTTTGTTTAATTATTTGGTATGTTAGTATTCATAACATTAACCTTTAAGAACTGTGTGCAACTTTGATTTCATTCCATGTAGAGTAGGAGCATTTTAAGATAATCTAGTAATAACTTTAGATAATGCTAAAGAAAGGCTTCTCTCTGCTTTTAAATGCTCAGATAGCCCTCGACTAATTAATCTGTGGGTAGTGAAGAGTGGTGGCCTCATGAAGAATAAGTCATAATCCAAAATTCACCATGTGCCCTTTCTTTTTATTTATCAGTAGAAAAGAATCATGTTCAAAAAGCTCCCAAATCCCAAATTCAGGAGGATACCTCCAATTTGAGAGAGGAGGGAATTCTGTTTCTAGTTCCACATAATTTCCACCTTGACTCAGACCTTTTCCACAAATAACCTTATAATGGAAAGTTGGTTTTCCACAACACTTCACAAAGTCCAGTGGCCCTATAAAATAGTTCAAATATCATATATGTTATGTTCAGATACATTACTGGTTAACTTTTATAGCCAATCCTGTATGTATGATCATCATTTATAATATTATTTTTGTGGGAAATTAATGTCAATTTTCAAATAAACATGTTTACAGTGATTATGAGCAAATAATATATGCTTAATAAATGCTGATTAAACCAACAAATGTTAGAAATAAACTTAAGACATAACATTTGTAAATTAAAAACTGCTTGCAATATAAGTTTTGATTTTAGTGACATCTTGTGGACATGAAAGGTTTTGCTGCTACAAGTAATATACAGTAGGAGACAAAAACACAATTCAGTCTTTAGAAAGTAAATTTCTTATTTTATAGAAAAAACTATTCATTCCTAGAAAAGGATGACCTGACAGGCAGCCAGAAAAGCTCACCTGGTGTTCTAGCAGAATGTTTATTCATTAGTTTTTAGGGGATACTTCTGTAATAATGACTTGCTGTAAGGAAGTAGAATTTTAATTCACAGGAGAGATAAGTGCTATACTGTAAGAAGGAAATTAGGTGACTACTACTAATTCTATTTTTCTCCAAATTTTGTATCATTTGAATTTCTAGAAAGACAACCTAAGAAATCTTATTACCTTACTGATTTCCTTGCTAAGGGAAAAGCAGGAAAACACAGGTAAGTGGTTAAGAATCAGCATATTGAAGTGGAATGAGCTATTTCCTATAGAGGAAACAAGTGCCTGGGCTCTAGTCCCAATTCTACTATCATAAGGCTAAGTGACAGAGAGAAAGTTGTTTTATTCTTCTGATTTTAATTTTCTCACCTATCAATGAGGCAGTTAAAAACATATCTAAAGTCCTAAGGAATTAAACAAGTCTATGAATTGGTAATTCTATTACTATGGCATTCTCCTGGTCCGCAAAGAAACCAAAAAGGATATTTTTAAAGATATAATTAGTCAAGCATAAGTCTGCTGATTCACTATTTTACTTTCAAAGTACAGTTAATCCTCACTATTCATGGATTTCATATTGCAAATTAGTTTATTCCATATTGCAAATTTATCTGTAATCCCCAAATCAATGGGATTACAATTGCTTTCTCAGTAGTTCATGGACATGCATCGAACAGCAAAAACTTTGAGTAGCTGAATGCACACATTTGCAGCTGAGGCTGGATAAAGTGATGCTCTGCCTTCTGTTTTCAGCTCTGGTGCTATAAACAAATGTCCTTTTCTGGTCTATTTAGTGCCATGTTTTTTGGCATTTTTATGATTTTAATTAGTGACTTTACTGTTTAAAATATCCCCCAAGCCTGATTCTGAAGCACTGTGTACTGTTCCTAAGTGCAAGAAGGCTGAAGCGTGTCTTGCAGAGAAAATGTGTTAGATAAGCTTTGTTGAGGCCTGAGTTATAACAATGTTGGCCGTGAGTTCAACGTTAAAGAATCAACACATACACTGAATAAGGCATCTTTAAACAGAAACACGCACAAAACAAGGATATATATTGACTGGTGGATGAAAATGTTGTGATCAGAGGCTCAAAGGAACCTAATTCTGTATTTCCTCTAATTCTGTAGTTCCGTGTTTACTAATTCAGTATTCACAGTGACTTTAAAGAAAATAACTTCAGTGAATAATGAGAACTGACTGTGCTCATAAAACATGTGTTTAAAAGTGTCATTCCACAAAACATTCCTTATGAGCATCTATTATGGGCCAGACAAGGTACTAAGTGCTTGAAAAACAAAGAATAACATGAAAAATCCTTAGATTCATATTCTATGCCTAGAGATTTTTTCACAGGGTGTGGGCTTATTTTGATACCTTATTGAAATTTTCATTAAGTGAAGAGAAAAGATTAGAGCTCACAACTGGCATCTGTGGATGCATGCATTCATTCAAAAGCATTTCCTGCATTCCAACTATGTGTCAAGTACTAGGGATACAGCTGTGAAAAAATCAGGCAAAGGTCCTGTCCTCGTGAAGGCAGATGAACAACAAACATTTACATAACATATCAGGTGATAAGTGAATCCTAATTTATCAAAAAGGCAAGGGAAAGATATAGAGAAAGGGCAAGCAGTGGAGGAAGTCAGCGAAGGCCTCCCTCAGAATACAAATGACTGAGCAGAAATCTGAAAGATGTGAAGGAGTCAGCCATGGAGATGTCTAGGGAAGAGCACCTAGGCAGAAGGAACAAAATGTGAAAAGGTCCTGAGGAAAAATGTGCCTGGTGGGCAAGTTAAAGGAACAGCAACAGGCCTAAGTGCATTACTTAAGATAGGAAATAAATTCGGCGAAGTAATAGGGACATCATGCAGGTGTTTGTAGGGTACTGACAGAACTTCGGCTTTTACTCTGATCTTCCTTTGGAAAAGATAACTGTAGCCGATCTGTGGAGAAAATACCCTATTGGGGCAACTGTAGAAGCAGGGAGATCACTGAGGAGACTTTTGGAATAATCCAGGATAGAGAGCGCAGTGGTTTAAAACTAGGGTAGAAGAGAGATAATAAGAGATGGCCAGACTTCAGATATACATAGTTTTTCACATACATTTATACATATGGAATTGAACAAGGAGAGTCACAGATGAAGCAAAGGCTTCTAATCAGAGCAACTAAAAGAATAAAGATGCTATTAATTGAGATGGGGAAAACTGGGAGGAACAGGTTGGTTTGGGTGGGGAAAATGAGGAAGTAAGACATCTCCAGATAGACTTGTACTGGAGACAGTACAAGACACACATGAAGATTTGCAGAGTAGAAATTTGGTTATGTGAGTATGGAATACAGGGGAAGGGTCAAACTGGAGATAAAAATTTGGGAGGCATTAGCATATAGATGATATTTAGAGACATGAGACTGAATTGCGATCACCTAAAAAATGTGAGGAGGTCCAAGGACCGGACTCTGGAGCACTCTTGATTTTTCGTGAGAGAAAAATCACCGATGACGGGGAGTTACAAAGCTGAAGTGAACAAACGAGACTGAGAAAGAGGAATTAGCAAGAGAGGATGAAATGGGAAGAATGGCATTCGGGAAAATGAGAGAAGAATGTTTTAAGAAGAAAGTTTTCTACATGACAATTAGCCTGGACTCCTCAAAAGGTTAATAATAATACCACCACCAAAATAAGATGATTATTCTAGATGAAAAGAGACTAAAGAAACATAAAAACTAAAGGTGATACATAAATCTCAGTTGGATCCTAGTTCAAAAAAGTAATAGCTATAAAAAACATTCTTGTGGCTACTAGGGAAATCTGAAAATGCACTGGACATTAAACTAGATAATTAAATTTACTATTTATTTTCTTAGGTGTGATAATGGCAATTTGGTTACATAGGAGACTATCTTTATTCGTAGGAGACATGCTAAAATATTTGTGGGGGGAGATATAATGACATTTGCAACTTATTTTCGAATGATTGAGTAAAATTATGATAAAATGTTTTCTAGGTGGAGGGTATAAAGAAATGATAAAATGTAATCTAGGTGGAGGGTATAAAGAAATTCTCTAGATTATTCATTAAGCTTTTCTGAAAATGTGAAAACTTTCAGAATATGTGAAAATGTGAAAACTTTCATAATAAAAGTTAGAAAAAGGTAAAAGACAAAGAACCCAGTAAAAAAAAATGGGCAAAAGACATGAATAGACATTTCACAGAAGAGGAAATGATAAAAGGCCAATAAACAAATGAAGAGATAGCTCTGCTTGTTATCAGGAAAATGCAAAATAAAACCAAAAGAGAACATTTCACATCTACCACAGTAGACAAAACTAAAAAGAATTAAAATCCAAGTGTTACTGACGACGAGGAGTGACGGGAACTCTTACATGCCGCAGGCAGGAGAGGATATCAGGGTAAACACTAGCTTCCCACACATCTCTGAGCCCAGTAATTCCAGGCTTATTGAGACACCTTGGAAAAGCTCTTCCACATGCACACAGGGGAAAAAGATACAAGAATATTAACAGCAATGTTGTTTGTAATAGCAAGAAAGTTGGAATCAACTCAGATGCTGACTATAGAGGTATTCATTTCACTATCATAATTATGATTGTTAATTTTCTTTAAAATTATACCGATAGTTATAAATACAGATCAATCGATTGCTCTATCTATCTATCTCTTTGTATATTTCATGTCTTTGTATGTTTCAAAATAAAAAAGTTAGAACTGATCAACTGCAAAAAATGTTGACAGGTCAAGCAAGATGAAGAGTAAGAACTGACACCTGGATCTGGCAAGGTGGACATTGTGCCTAGGTTAAATGAAGTCGATCAAAACTACCTATAATAAGCAGAAATCTTTTAGTATAAAAACAACTTTTTTGTTTTGTTTTGGAAAAAGGATACAGAAAATCAAATCTATTAATTTAAAACAGTGAAAAGTGAACTTTCCTGGAGAAAAGGGTTTTTAGGGAGAGAAGGCAAGCTTATTTGCTCATTTTCAAATTCATCTATTCAAATGTACATTGGCATGTGAAGAAACACGTATAGGAGAGGACATTTATAGTCCAAATCGGGATATTTCTAAGTGTGAATGGAGGAGCAACTGATAAATTTGCTGGGGTGAGGGTGGAAAATGGGGTTTTCTTAGCCAAACTGGTCTGTATGATTTCCCTAAGAATAAGCTAAATTCATTTTAGTGCCCTATAGGTTTTTTGCAAGAATGGAATAAGGGATTCTCAGGAAAAAAAGAGGTCCTTAAAAGCAACCCAGTCAAACTTCTTTGAGATTCTATTCTGGCATGTAAATTGTGGTTACTAATGACATGTCTAAAACTATACTCACTCAGTTGATGGTACACAGGTTTATGCAGTCCTTGAAGTTTAACTGATGCCATAGCAGCAAGTTTGCCAGGGGGCTGCATTTTCCCATCTAAGAGATACCAGACTCGAGCAAAGGTGGCCCATTGCTTGAAAATGCAGAAGAGGAAACAAAGAAAATTCTAATTAAAATGGAAATAATTGACTTATTATGTACTATCACATGTATTTTACAGTTAATGTCAATAATTTGAAAACAATCTTATCACTAAACAATGTTTTTGTTTTTCTTGATTTCTGGAAAAAGGGAGATCTTTTCTCATTATTCTGCAAAGATTAACATGGTAATTTTTCCTTCCTGCTTTTCTATCAGCAATATGGGTCATGCTTTATTAAAAACATTCTAATTATTTCCCTTTACATTATAACTTATATTCCTTTGTATCACAAATAATGGAATCTAGAGAGGTAATGAGAAGTATTTATAAGTTGTTTATGAAAGTCTTCAAAAATATTTTGAGATTAGTAGATACATTATTGAAGGATGAATGGCCAATTAGGAACTGAAGATCATTCAGTAGTTTAATTCTAAGGGAGAGTTAAATAGCAGAATGTAGCTGGGAAAGTATAGATGGATGATGTTAAATAAATTTTTAAAAACTGCCTTAAACAGATAATCTTTAGGCTCCTCAGGCATAGACCACTGTTTTTTTAGTGCCTATCAGTGCCTTCAAACTCTAAGAAACTTACAGCTCAGAAAGATCTTGACCAGATGCTTTTTCTATGCATATACACAAGCAGCTAAACAATGCTGGAAAAAATACAACTAGGTTATCTGGTTTTATTTTAAATTTAATGATCATAAACATCAAATAAGCCTATAAAACTGTTTACCAATTGTTTTTTTTCCCTGTCCTCATTTTTCTAATATCTAGTTCCTCTCGTATTTCTTTTGTCAGCTTTATTGCTATTTTATATATATTTGATGCCATTGTAAATTGTATTTTTAAATTAAATTTCTAATTGTTGCTAATTTATAGAAATAAACTTCATTTTTGTATATTGGTCTTGTATCTTGCAACCTTACTAAACTTATCAGTTCTAGTAGCTTCTTGTGGATTCTGATTTTTTACAGATGATCATGTCTTTTGCAAATAAAGACAGCTTTTAACCCATACCTTTTCCCTACCACTCTGAGCTTATCAACTAACAAAAAAAGATTCAAACAGTGGGAACTCTACAGGACAATCTTGTTTCTTCAAAAAATTTCAAGGAAAAAAGGAATAGGAACCTATTTATTAAAAGAGACTTAAAAAACATACAACTTATTGCATTTTGGATCCTAATCCAAAGGAACAAACTGTAAAAATATTATGAATTTATGTAATGTATAGGATATATACATGAGAAATTGAAAATTTGAACATATACTGGATATTCTATATTAAGGATTTGCAGTTAATTTTTTATTTAGCTGTGATAAATAGTATTGGGATTGTAATTTTTTAAAACCCTTATCTTGTAGAGAACATACTGAAATTTTTACTGATGAGATAATGAGTCTGAGATTTACCCCTTAAGGAAGGGAAAGAAGTGAATGGGGGTACAGACAAAATGATACTGGCTTTGAGTTTTGTAAAACGGGGTGATAGTTACTGTTATGACTGTAATTCTCCATAATAAAGTTCTAATTCTCCTGCCTTTTGTCCTCAGACACTCATCACCATCACTCTACTGCCTGCCAAAATTACCACTGCCTTCATGTTACTAAATCCATTGGTCAATTCTAAAAGCTCCACACAGCTGATCATTCCCTCTCCTGGGTATTCTTTCTTCACTTGATTTCCAGGACACTACCCTGTGTTAGTTTTTTTCCCTACCTTGCTGATCCTCCCTTTTGCCTCTGAAATGTTGAAATGTCCCAGAACTCAGTTCTTGGTTCTCCTCTTTTCTATACCACTTCCCCAAACACTTCATCCAGACCCATACCTTTAAATGGCATTTGTATGCTATGACTCCCAAATTTACATCTCTAGCCTGGATCTCCTTCCTGAACTCTACACTTATATCCAATTGCCCTCTTAACATCTGTACTACAGTGCTTCTTAAACTGCATAGGTAGTTAAAGACTAGTTAATTCCCCAATCCACTGCAGACCAACACTTTTATTTAAAAAAAAAACAAAAAACAAAACTTAGATTAAACAAATTAAAATTCAGCCACAATGCCAAATTGTTATAAAGGTTTTTAAAGGTTAAAATTTCTAATTTCTGTATTTACCTGATCAGGGAAAGGTAAACAGTCTAAGGAAGGTATCACACTTGGAGTGGGACTGGGCTAAGAGGAATCTTAAACCTACATATACAAAACTGAACTCTTGCTCTTCCATCTGAATCCTGCTTCAATCTCAGCCATTCCCATCTCAGCTGAAACAAAAACCTTGGAGTAATCCTTGTTTCTTCTTTTGCTATGGTCCCGCATGCAAACTTTGAGAAAATCCTATCGGCTCCACCTTTAAATAGAACCTGATCACTTTTCAACACTACAATGTTACCACCCTGTTTGTGCCATCATGGCTAGCCTGGATCACTGCAATAAGGATTCTTTGCTTCTATCCACCACCAAGCACCATTTCTAAAGCCTATTTAAATTCAGCAGCCACAATGCTCTCTTTACTATCTAAAAGAGATCATGATGCTCCTTGGTTCAAAAACCTCCAATAGGTCCCCAGTTAACTTAGTAAAAATCGAATTCTTACAATTCTACAATGATCTATGTGATCTATTTTATTACCTCTCCGACCTTCTCTCCTAATACTCTTTCGGGGG